AGAGCTGGCTACATCTACACTGTCCGAAGTTGGCTTTCACTCTCACTTTGAGTCATGACAAGCTGCTTGAGCCTCCTACATTGGTCCCCATATGAATGGTGCAGCCCTGCAGTGCCTGTGGAACTCATCCGAAGATACAACGGAACAATCTTTGGACCTTTATGCCAACTCTGCTGTGTTTTGGCCTGACAGTGCCAGATATGGTACACGAGGGAGCCTCGCCTTCATCCTATCGAGATATCTCATATGCCGTTTTTATCGTGAACTGTGCCCTTGAGGCGAGTGATCCCCAGCATGCGTTTGGTCGGACGCTATGATGATGTGATGGTCGATATCCCTATGACAGCTTCATAATTTTCTTCTTGGTGCTGAACTTCATCCATTCTGAAATGCTCTCTTCTAGATTTCTTATGAATTGTTCTTTCACTCTTCACTTTTTGATGATGAAGATGCAGATAGTTGTGGACAAGAAACTCCATCGATTACTTCTTGGATCGAATCTCATTCAAGTAATCTGTCCACTTTTAATGATTGCTTGATCAGGATCGAGTTTTGGCTAAGGATCGAATAAAACGATCCTGCACTGGCGATACCCTTAACGCGACATGGCACTGGATCGCTCCACTGCTAATTCAATCATGTTTGTACTTATGAATGAAGCTTGAATACGCTGAATGGTTAATTCGGAATGAAAAACTTCGTTCCTTTGTTATCGACTCTGGCTTTTCTGAGAATAGCTCAAATTAATGGTTTTTAAAAACGATATGGAGTAGATTTACGAGATGACAAGCAGGGGAAGGCCTACATAAGAAATCCCTGGGACATGAGAAAGTGTATGGAAATCATTTAGGTCCAGATAAAAAGAAAGAATAACCCCCGTTTTTTATTGACTTCGGAAATTTTTGTCAGGAGATTAGAAAAAGATTTGGTGGCATGAACGCATATTTCTCGAGAATCATCAAGTTTTATCGAGCCAGCGCATCAGACATTCCACAAGGCTGACTGTACAAATGCATGTTTTGTTGTTGCCTACAACTTAAAGGGATTCTGTAGTGCAGTGTAAAGTATCCCACTATCACACGCAAGGTCCAAGGATCGAATTCCCGATCGATACCCGTTCCAGCCAACTAAGCCCTAGGCCTCTGAGGTTCATGGACTGGTACCACGTCCATCTGGAAAGATAAAAGTACTGGCTTACTTCGGTCTGAATCCCGTAATTTATGGTATAAGTCACACTCAAATGCCTGCACGATTCGGAATTTAGTGAATGCTTTGGGACTTCTGCTGTCCCTATTAGCACCTTGAAGGGTTGAAGGCCAATGAATGGAAGGTTTGCTGATAAATTTCTGCGATCTATCCTACATAGAGGACGATTTGTTCACGTCAATGCATTCATTAAGACGCTTAATTCTACTCAAATAGGTAAATGCATTTAAAATTTAGCTCTTCCGACCTGTAAAGTGGATTGAGTATTCATGCTGGTGTGGAAGCTGGTATACTCATCGCTAGCAAAAACTCCCTTCGGCTTTTTATACAGTCGGTCCCCTCTCATAAGTGAAATTCCAATTCGCTTGGGTGGAGTTCGAATAGAAAAGAGGTTGTGGAGGTGTTTTTTCTATAGTTTCGATTTTGCTTAGTTCTACCTCGATGTTGAGTTCATATAAATGAGTCTATTCAAAGTCAGTGACATGTTCTCATTATCTTGTGGATCATAGTCTGCAATGATCCTAAGAAATGGTGCTTTCCTGTTCATTTTTGTCCGTTTGAATCTGCGCAACTTTCTTATGACTAATCCTTTTTTT